CACTCACTCACTCACTCACTCACTCACTCATCCATTGACCCGTCCATAACATACCCGACGCGCCGACTTAGAGGTATTTTTTTTTTACAAAAAAATAACTCAAAAATTGTTACTTGCCAGCTATTATCCAGACCATTTGAAACTCGTTTTAATTTTAAAAGTTTTTTTCCAAGGACTCGTTTTGAAGCAGAAGGAAAAAACAACCGGAAAATGACCTTTTGTCTTGTTGTGCCGCGACAGTTTGCCCCCAACCGACTTACCAGAGAGACAAGACATCGCGTGTGGCAAAATGCCCGTGGGAAGGTTAGAACCTGTTTTTCTTGCTCGAGTGGTCTAACGGCGAATGTCACGCGATACAAGCGCTAGCGCTATGTTTTCTTTCCAGAAAATGTCCCAGCCTTCCTAAATGACAAAACCTGCGATCAGGCTTTCGTATTTCGAAAGAACGCCTGATCGCCGGTTATAAATTAATGACATGACTCAGACCAATTAGCAAATTTTTCATTTTGAATGGAAAACTGTATTTTTCTCTGGCTTTGGTTTGTTGGGCTCCATTCTACCTGTGTTCAAATTGAGTTTCATACAGCGAACATGACTCACTAAATACTCCAACAATATATCTTTTTCTTCATCATCTTAAATTCATTTTAATCTCTGTTGTTATACTGTGGTTCTCTTGAGTTATATTCCATACGAAAACCGTAAAATATTAATAGCTTTCTTGCTGTTTAATATTACTGGAATAATGTTTCTTTTGTTATCGACCAGCCTTATTGAGGTATCTTCATTACATTCATATTTCATTCTGATTATTTACAATTGATATTTTCGTACACAAATGCAGCGGCAACTTCATGTAGGAAATAAAAAAGCTCAATTGAATAATTCAATACAAGAAGGACTGTGACTGGTTTGGCAGAGCGTTCGTCACGATTTCTTTTCAGGCAAATTATCTTATAAATTTCCAAACTTCCCTTCGGCTGTTCATGTATTTTACACCACGCTCGTTTGTCTAGAGAAATCAAAAGGATTAAGAATTAAGAATTAAAGTCAATCGGAAAAAACAGAGCTTGAGCTCAGCGATGTATCAAGATGTTCGCTGCTGGTTCCTCCACTGAGATGAAACTGATCCAGCAACCATTCCAGTCGAACTTTATCATCGCTCAATTTTCTCTCGTATTGTCCCTTTAAGATCCTCTTCAGATCTCTCTTTTCGTTTGTAAACTTATTCTCAATTTCCAGCCTGTCTCGGTCGAATTTTAACTGCAGTGTTTGCATCTCCAACGAGTAACATTTCTCCAGCTGTTCCTTCTGATATTTTAACACAGAGATGTCATGTTCGTATCCTTGAACTTCCGACTCGAATTTCATCCTTTCTTGCTGAAGTATTCGTCGAAATTCCGTCTCGAATTTTCGCCTGATCTCTTCTTTTTCCTTTCGGAAGGTCTCCTCCATGTCTGATTTTTCTCTCCTAAAAATGTTCATCAAGTCGTTCTTCTGTTGCTTGAATCTTTGCTCCATGTCCATGATTTCACAGGCGAACTGGTCCTCCAATAGTTTGTGTTTACTAGTGTAGTGCGACTGCATTCTGCTCTTTTCCTGGTTCAGTGATTTCATCAAGTCGTCCCTGTCGACGTTCAACTCCGCATCTAAGAGCCCTTTGAAGTGCATGTCCACCTCGGGTTGCTCATGGTTGTATACGGTCTCGAGATACGCATTTTCCTCGAAGTAAATGTTCTCAAGATCACCCAAACCTTCAGACAGTGTTCGCTTTAATTCGTTTTCCACGTCTTCGATTCGCTCCAGTTTCTTGCGTATCTTGGCCTCCATTTCCGTTTTTTCAGCTCTGAAAGTTTCTTCTTTTTCCCTGAGAATCCTCTCAAAATTTAGTCTCATTTCTTTTTTCTCTTTATTAAAATTCTCCACCAGACTTTCCTTCTCTCGATCCCATGATTTCATCAGCGCGCATTTCTCGTCATCGAATGACAGTTTCAAAACATGTTTCGCCTCCTGAAACTCTAAACGAATATTATCTTTGTCTTTCAAGAAAACCTGTCGCATTTCTTCCTTCTCGCACTCGAACGCTTTTCTCATATTTTCCTTCTCCGCTTCGAACGCAAATCGCATTTCGTCTTTCTCATCTTCGTGGGCGCGTTCGATAATTTCTCTCTCTTGAAGAAATCCCCTGACGATTTCTGCCTTCTCCTCGAGTAACTGCCTGTCTTCGTCCGATACATCCACGAAAGACAGGTTTTCCTCGGAATTCTTCGACGGGTCGCCCTCCATGACGTTAACGACTTGAACTACAAACACAGAATTCACGAATCTAACTTGAAATCAAAGCGTATTTCACGGCGGTGAACTCAAGCCGCGCCAGTGACCCTTGATCAAGACATTTTATAGTCGATCGATAAGCCGGAATCGCCGCTGCGTGCGCACTTTGTCTGACGGCGATTCCTGTTAAATGGGCTGTCACTTTTCGAACGCGACGATAAATTTTATCCCTGTGTAATAGCCAAGAGTCACTAGAACCGTTCGGTTCTGCTTCACGCTAAGCTGAGTTCAAGAAATCAGTGATATGTTCAGGCCCGTGATAAACAGGGCATAGTTTCGTTTTGATGACTTTGTCAAGACACGATTGCTAGAAAGAAAATCTGCATATAGATCGATAAGATGCTATCTCGAATTGAACTAATTACGCTGTGTTTTTTGAAAGAGAAATATCTCGGCTCAAAAATCACCTGGCGAGGAATAATCGAGGTTAATTGATTCAGCGCTGGTGAACACACATTTCAAGCTAATTTGAAAAGCGGCATTGACTCATAAAAAACTCCACAAAATATTGCCTTTGGCGAATTATCGTCCTATAATAAACAGCTCTGTTCTATAGCTTTATTAGTCCTCTCTAAAAGACAGCGTCAATCTGATACAAAATAACCTTTTCTCCCAAAGTTGACCTCGACCAGACACAAATACAAATAGCAATTTCAAGGATTATATATTCTTCTTTATACCCGATGTCAAGCACTTTTGTAATTAATTTTGTACCCTGGGGCCAACTGGTACCCGGAAAAGATTTAGGTCGCACCCCATCATGGCCTGGTTCCGAAAGAGACATTGTTTTGCAAACAGACGATTGAAAAGTAAAATATAATTTTTCGCTGGTTGGGTGATTCCGAAACACAAATACACCCACATCGCTGTTGTGACGTCATTAGCCTTACTAAAACAGTTCTTTGGGATGTATAAAATTCCCACAAGGTTTAAAAATACTTCTGCCGACGAATTTAGAGTCCATTAAGGATTGTCTTGTAATTTATTCACCGGCTGCCTGTCGAGATTTTAAACCCAAACAAAACTCTGATAATGAATGGGTAATTCAAACAAATTCACTACCACTAGAAACTGTGACCAATTCCGTTACGCGCTTTCACTGACTATAAAGTATGTTTTATCGATTCTGAGTTGTATATACGAAAAAAATACCGCAACTACCTGATAATAACAGACATTTATTTGAAAAGCCTGGGAAAGTTAAGATTGCCAGAGAACGGAGAAGATCGGGTTAACGATGAAATTCAGTGATAATTTGTTGATAAAACGGTGTGAGACAGAACTCTCGTCAGCATAATGAAAGGTAAGGCTCGTAAAAAAGGAACACAGACTACAAAATGATTAGGAAAGTTAGAAATCGTGTTATAATGAAAAGTCGTAACTTTCTGTGGAAGAACTGAAAGGTGAGGGGCGCGCTTGTTCGAGGGGAGGCGCTTATTTCAAATTTTGACCGATAGGAGGGGCGCTTATTCGAAGGGGGCGCTTATTCGAGGAGGGGTGGGAGGCGCTAATTCGAGGATTTACGGTAAACGTGCTTCAACTTTGCGTTGAATGTGTTAATTCAGTGGATCGGAATGTTCAATTTTTGTCTATCCGTTGATCCTTTGAGTTACTTTACAAACACTGTGTATCACTAGTTGAAAGCAAAAATATTTTCATGAGGCCATAAGCTGTGTTTTGTGTACGAGAATAGGATTTCTGGTAAGAGAAGGGAGTGGCTTGGCCCTATCTTTACCAGCGACCTTAAAATACTGAAATCGAATACCATATACGGTAGTTACAAACTTTACTATAAATTAAGAACAGTTCAGATCCAGAACAAATGTTCGTGTAAGGGAATAGCACCGGAATTAAAATAGGTTTAGAATTATTTCGGCTAGTATTTTAATTACTTTCGACAACTGACCAAAATGTACACGGCTTATCAAATCCTGAGAAACATGTTCACGTCCGCGCTCATTAAAAATATTGTAATGTTGTTGTTGTTGTTGTTGTTGTTGTTGTTCTTCTTCTTCTTCTTCTTCTTCTTCTTCTTCTTCTTCTTCTTCTTCTTCTTCTTCTTCAACATGAAGATGGCTTGTTTAATTTGAGCTTTTGATAATTAGAAGTACCATCATCCTACTGCTGGAAGCTAGTTGTTTTGAGAAATAGTAATGAACGATTTAATAATTTCGTCGGCTTATCGGCTCGCTTAAATGAATACTGTCTTGAATTGAGGTTTTTAAAACAAGATTCTTTCGTTGTCAGCTTCGAGCTTACAGAGTTGGTCAGTCGAGGTTAACCTCAAAGAATAGTTTTTTAAATAAAAATCTTTCTTTCCGACACTAGGGTGTCTCCTTTATTTGCATATTTTCTTTTCGACGAAAGTGCTATAAATTCTAAACAGAACGTAAAGTTTGTCTTGTGATCAGCACCTTAGTTTTCCTTACAACATGACTGCATTACGGTAACCAAGTAAACATCTGATTGTTGCCAAGATATTATCTCTTGTTGCTGCATGATTTATCGCCAAATTCTCATATCTTACATGAAAAGGAATGTATGTAACTCAGTTTGAAGAATTAATATTATGAACTTGAAACTGAAGTGATCGACAAAGAGATGTGAAGGGCCTGAACAGTCCTTATTCCGACCCACGTCCGAGCCCTTTCGCCTCGTGCGTAAACTAAAACAAATTTAATAGTACCATCCATGTTGGGCCATAATTATGTTTAAAGGAAATGCTTTAGAAGAAATCTTCATTTGGATAGTTTTTTTTTTNGTATTTTTCTCTGGCTTTGGTTTGTTGGGCTCCATTCTACCTGTGTTCAAATTGAGTTTCATACAGCGAACATGACTCACTAAATACTCCAACAATATATCTTTTTCTTCATCATCTTAAATTCATTTTAATCTCTGTTGTTATACTGTGGTTCTCTTGAGTTATATTCCATACGAAAACCGTAAAATATTAATAGCTTTCTTGCTGTTTAATATTACTGGAATAATGTTTCTTTTGTTATCGACCAGCCTTATTGAGGTATCTTCATTACATTCATATTTCATTCTGATTATTTACAATTGATATTTTCGTACACAAATGCAGCGGCAACTTCATGTAGGAAATAAAAAAGCTCAATTGAATAATTCAATACAAGAAGGACTGTGACTGGTTTGGCAGAGCGTTCGTCACGATTTCTTTTCAGGCAAATTATCTTATAAATTTCCAAACTTCCCTTCGGCTGTTCATGTATTTTACACCACGCTCGTTTGTCTAGAGAAATCAAAAGGATTAAGAATTAAGAATTAAAGTCAATCGGAAAAAACAGAGCTTGAGCTCAGCGATGTATCAAGATGTTCGCTGCTGGTTCCTCCACTGAGATGAAACTGATCCAGCAACCATTCCAGTCGAACTTTATCATCGCTCAATTTTCTCTCGTATTGTCCCTTTAAGATCCTCTTCAGATCTCTCTTTTCGTTTGTAAACTTATTCTCAATTTCCAGCCTGTCTCGGTCGAATTTTAACTGCAGTGTTTGCATCTCCAACGAGTAACATTTCTCCAGCTGTTCCTTCTGATATTTTAACACAGAGATGTCATGTTCGTATCCTTGAACTTCCGACTCGAATTTCATCCTTTCTTGCTGAAGTATTCGTCGAAATTCCGTCTCGAATTTTCGCCTGATCTCTTCTTTTTCCTTTCGGAAGGTCTCCTCCATGTCTGATTTTTCTCTCCTAAAAATGTTCATCAAGTCGTTCTTCTGTTGCTTGAATCTTTGCTCCATGTCCATGATTTCACAGGCGAACTGGTCCTCCAATAGTTTGTGTTTACTAGTGTAGTGCGACTGCATTCTGCTCTTTTCCTGGTTCAGTGATTTCATCAAGTCGTCCCTGTCGACGTTCAACTCCGCATCTAAGAGCCCTTTGAAGTGCATGTCCACCTCGGGTTGCTCATGGTTGTATACGGTCTCGAGATACGCATTTTCCTCGAAGTAAATGTTCTCAAGATCACCCAAACCTTCAGACAGTGTTCGCTTTAATTCGTTTTCCACGTCTTCGATTCGCTCCAGTTTCTTGCGTATCTTGGCCTCCATTTCCGTTTTTTCAGCTCTGAAAGTTTCTTCTTTTTCCCTGAGAATCCTCTCAAAATTTAGTCTCATTTCTTTTTTCTCTTTATTAAAATTCTCCACCAGACTTTCCTTCTCTCGATCCCATGATTTCATCAGCGCGCATTTCTCGTCATCGAATGACAGTTTCAAAACATGTTTCGCCTCCTGAAACTCTAAACGAATATTATCTTTGTCTTTCAAGAAAACCTGTCGCATTTCTTCCTTCTCGCACTCGAACGCTTTTCTCATATTTTCCTTCTCCGCTTCGAACGCAAATCGCATTTCGTCTTTCTCATCTTCGTGGGCGCGTTCGATAATTTCTCTCTCTTGAAGAAATCCCCTGACGATTTCTGCCTTCTCCTCGAGTAACTGCCTGTCTTCGTCCGATACATCCACGAAAGACAGGTTTTCCTCGGAATTCTTCGACGGGTCGCCCTCCATGACGTTAACGACTTGAACTACAAACACAGAATTCACGAATCTAACTTGAAATCAAAGCGTATTTCACGGCGGTGAACTCAAGCCGCGCCAGTGACCCTTGATCAAGACATTTTATAGTCGATCGATAAGCCGGAATCGCCGCTGCGTGCGCACTTTGTCTGACGGCGATTCCTGTTAAATGGGCTGTCACTTTTCGAACGCGACGATAAATTTTATCCCTGTGTAATAGCCAAGAGTCACTAGAACCGTTCGGTTCTGCTTCACGCTAAGCTGAGTTCAAGAAATCAGTGATATGTTCAGGCCCGTGATAAACAGGGCATAGTTTCGTTTTGATGACTTTGTCAAGACACGATTGCTAGAAAGAAAATCTGCATATAGATCGATAAGATGCTATCTCGAATTGAACTAATTACGCTGTGTTTTTTGAAAGAGAAATATCTCGGCTCAAAAATCACCTGGCGAGGAATAATCGAGGTTAATTGATTCAGCGCTGGTGAACACACATTTCAAGCTAATTTGAAAAGCGGCATTGACTCATAAAAAACTCCACAAAATATTGCCTTTGGCGAATTATCGTCCTATAATAAACAGCTCTGTTCTATAGCTTTATTAGTCCTCTCTAAAAGACAGCGTCAATCTGATACAAAATAACCTTTTCTCCCAAAGTTGACCTCGACCAGACACAAATACAAATAGCAATTTCAAGGATTATATATTCTTCTTTATACCCGATGTCAAGCACTTTTGTAATTAATTTTGTACCCTGGGGCCAACTGGTACCCGGAAAAGATTTAGGTCGCACCCCATCATGGCCTGGTTCCGAAAGAGACATTGTTTTGCAAACAGACGATTGAAAAGTAAAATATAATTTTTCGCTGGTTGGGTGATTCCGAAACACAAATACACCCACATCGCTGTTGTGACGTCATTAGCCTTACTAAAACAGTTCTTTGGGATGTATAAAATTCCCACAAGGTTTAAAAATACTTCTGCCGACGAATTTAGAGTCCATTAAGGATTGTCTTGTAATTTATTCACCGGCTGCCTGTCGAGATTTTAAACCCAAACAAAACTCTGATAATGAATGGGTAATTCAAACAAATTCACTACCACTAGAAACTGTGACCAATTCCGTTACGCGCTTTCACTGACTATAAAGTATGTTTTATCGATTCTGAGTTGTATATACGAAAAAAATACCGCAACTACCTGATAATAACAGACATTTATTTGAAAAGCCTGGGAAAGTTAAGATTGCCAGAGAACGGAGAAGATCGGGTTAACGATGAAATTCAGTGATAATTTGTTGATAAAACGGTGTGAGACAGAACTCTCGTCAGCATAATGAAAGGTAAGGCTCGTAAAAAAGGAACACAGACTACAAAATGATTAGGAAAGTTAGAAATCGTGTTATAATGAAAAGTCGTAACTTTCTGTGGAAGAACTGAAAGGTGAGGGGCGCGCTTGTTCGAGGGGAGGCGCTTATTTCAAATTTTGACCGATAGGAGGGGCGCTTATTCGAAGGGGGCGCTTATTCGAGGAGGGGTGGGAGGCGCTAATTCGAGGATTTACGGTAAACGTGCTTCAACTTTGCGTTGAATGTGTTAATTCAGTGGATCGGAATGTTCAATTTTTGTCTATCCGTTGATCCTTTGAGTTACTTTACAAACACTGTGTATCACTAGTTGAAAGCAAAAATATTTTCATGAGGCCATAAGCTGTGTTTTGTGTACGAGAATAGGATTTCTGGTAAGAGAAGGGAGTGGCTTGGCCCTATCTTTACCAGCGACCTTAAAATACTGAAATCGAATACCATATACGGTAGTTACAAACTTTACTATAAATTAAGAACAGTTCAGATCCAGAACAAATGTTCGTGTAAGGGAATAGCACCGGAATTAAAATAGGTTTAGAATTATTTCGGCTAGTATTTTAATTACTTTCGACAACTGACCAAAATGTACACGGCTTATCAAATCCTGAGAAACATGTTCACGTCCGCGCTCATTAAAAATATTGTAATGTTGTTGTTGTTGTTGTTGTTGTTGTTGTTGTTGTTGTTCTTCTTCTTCTTCTTCTTCTTCTTCAACATGAAGATGGCTTGTTTAATTTGAGCTTTTGATAATTAGAAGTACCATCATCCTACTGCTGGAAGCTAGTTGTTTTGAGAAATAGTAATGAACGATTTAATAATTTCGTCGGCTTATCGGCTCGCTTAAATGAATACTGTCTTGAATTGAGGTTTTTAAAACAAGATTCTTTCGTTGTCAGCTTCGAGCTTACAGAGTTGGTCAGTCGAGGTTAACCTCAAAGAATAGTTTTTTAAATAAAAATCTTTCTTTCCGACACTAGGGTGTCTCCTTTATTTGCATATTTTCTTTTCGACGAAAGTGCTATAAATTCTAAACAGAACGTAAAGTTTGTCTTGTGATCAGCACCTTAGTTTTCCTTACAACATGACTGCATTACGGTAACCAAGTAAACATCTGATTGTTGCCAAGATATTATCTCTTGTTGCTGCATGATTTATCGCCAAATTCTCATATCTTACATGAAAAGGAATGTATGTAACTCAGTTTGAAGAATTAATATTATGAACTTGAAACTGAAGTGATCGACAAAGAGATGTGAAGGGCCTGAACAGTCCTTATTCCGACCCACGTCCGAGCCCTTTCGCCTCGTGCGTAAACTAAAACAAATTTAATAGTACCATCCATGTTGGGCCATAATTATGTTTAAAGGAAATGCTTTAGAAGAAATCTTCATTTGGATAGTTTTTTTTTTTCAGCGCTATACTGCATCGTGGGACAAGCGTAGCCGAAGACGAAAAGGCACACTGCATCCTTAAATTTTAGTCTGAGTCCAAGGCTTTTGAGCATGGATAATCTTACGTTGAAGCTCCAGTTTTAAATTCTGTCGTAATTCATCTTCTTTTCTTTTATAGCTGAGTTCCAACGCGTTTTTCTCTCCCTCAAATATTTTAGCCAGTTCATCTTTCTGGATTCTCAAGCTGTCCAGCCCTTCCTTGAGTCCGTCTATGCTGTGAAGCAGGTACGCTCGCTCGTATGCGTATCTTGCTTGACATTCTTCTTCTACTAGTTTCCTTACAGCCAGTTTTTCCCTTTCAAACCTCTGCGTCATCTCAGCTTTTTCTCTTTCAAACGACCTTAGCAGAACCTCTTCTTGTTTGCGCAGCACGGTCAAAAGTTCTCCACAGTCGAGGTTAGTGTTGTCATGACAGCCGTTCTTCCCTTCCACTGTGCCATTTCCGGTAATTCTTGGTTTGGTGCCCAGTTCCTTCTCATATCCGCACTGACTTAGATGTTGAAGTGCATCTCGGTGAACATGCCTAGTGAACAGATCGAATGATTTTCTCAAATCGCGAAGTTCGCTCCAAAAGAAATCCTTTTCTTCTGTGAGAACCCGAATAAGCTCGTCTTTGGCTTTGATGATCTCGTTATACTCATTTCTCAGCTTAATTTCAAGGTTGCTTTTTTCTTCAATAAACTCCTTCTCCATTTCGTCTCGCTCTAGTTGCATCTCATCTTCAAACTGTTCTAGGTGTTGATGCAAAATATCATCGAAATCGGTTTGACACGAAATGTCCTTTGTGGTTTCGACTTTTTCGGTATTTTCAGCTTTTGTATCTTTGACTTCATCATGATTTTCAAAATCTTCACCTCGAGTGGAATCTTTTTTGCTGGATTCACAATTACTTCCTTCGCTCTCCATAGGGTTTTTCCGACTCTTCTTCGCTGTTACAACTGCGAGGAAGATTTAAAGTTGCATAAAACAAAACCTTCCCAAGATTGAAGTACTTTCGAGGACCAGGATCGTCCACCAGCTTTCCTTGCGGAGAAGAGGAAGATTTCTATCGGAATTCACAGCAAATTTCTCTCTAATTATATTGTGCCAATAATTGCAAACGGCAGGTGATACACTCCTTTGTTTACAGACGAGATTCGAAGCTCTTCGTAGCCTTTTGTGTGAAACTGAAAATACCTGTATAATTGAAAAGGCAATTTGCCTAACGACATAGCTACGCTTGGCAACCCCCGAAGCTTCAATAAAATCCCTGCAATAAAATTTTCATGAAGTTAAGTTTGCCAAACCGCACTCCTTCTTTCTTATTCTTTGTTCAGAAACGTTGTTTATAGTCATCCTGTGGATCAGACGCTGCTCTTAAACGTTTAGCTGTTAACTTGACGATAATATACACGACATGTTGTGACCCACACAGGTAATAAAACAGACTCTTTCGCGCCAATTGTCTCAGTGAATTACAAAACAAAGCGAGTATTTGTGTATAGTAAATTGGGCCAGTGGCCAATTTTAATTATTTTCGTCTGAAATACTCCGAATAAATGAATAATCAAGCACTCTTGTGGTTTTTACTTTTTTGCACTACCCGTTTATTGTCTCATAGAATTGCAAAGTATACGCTTAAGGTGTCACTTTATAGCGAATTAATGACTTGAGAACTATTCTTCGCCAGATTACTCAGACACTTTGTAGCGCTTATGGTGCCGCGACGTTCATTAAGCTTCCTTGGTCGATTATGTGAGCGTTGGAGGGCATTAGAAGAAATTATTAATAATAGAAACACCCGAAGCGCTTATTTTACATATAAACGAAGATACTCGAAGAATACTAAACCGCAAACAGTTTGTGATATGAGGGATGATAATAAGTTTAAGTTGTTCACGAGTCACCAAGAGTCATATTGGAAAGATGTTTCCAATAAAGCTTAAATAAAAGCAAATAAAGATAGTAAGAATGTAATGTATTTTTACTCCTTGTTTGTGATTAAAACAACGATATGGAAATACCAAAGAATACTTCGAACGATTGGCGAAAAGTTGGTAGCACGTGACATTTTTTGGGCCAGTCAGATCGGCCCTCCATTACAGCTGTCATCATTTGGCTTCGTTGGCCAGCCTACGTGCAACACGTTTGGGCCTGTTTACAGCCTTGTGGAGCCCACACAAATTAACCGACTGAAATGTTTTATGTTACAGCTGGAATAAATTCCAAAGGTTAAGAGAAGAAAATACAAAAACCAAATCAAACAAAACCCAACTAAACCAAACCGACAAACTTCGCGACTCTTAATGCTAAAATTGTAGAAAATTTTGAAATGTTTTCCAACTGAAACTTACTTTTAAGGCCAATGAAGGCGATATTGTTAAGGTGAAAACTTTGTCTACCATTAGCCGGAAAAGGCTTGGTAGGAGTACAAGGCTTTCTTCCCTCCATCGGAAAATATCAAGCCAGAGCTGACGGCCCTTAACTCATTTCTGGATGATTCCAGTTAATTCTGGCCAAAGCTCACATGGCCAAAACTTACAGTAAGAATTTAACGAATTTTTCGTTTTTGATTGTCGACGGAGTCCTAATTAGGCAGAGAAATGACAAATGTACGAAGTTGATTATTTCTTTTAATAAACAGGCCTTCACACAAGAGTTTCTCATAAAGCCTAACTTTTTAAAACCACAACGCTCGATCTCGGTTGCTATGTCAAGTATTTTAAATCTTCTTTCCTGCCCGGAAAAATGTTCCCAAACAACAGAAAAATTCCACTAAACGCACGAGGAGGTGAGATTCAGGTACCTGGACATCTCAGCAAAAACGTCCTTGGTATTTGAAACCTGAATTATATCTGGAAAATTAAGAATTAGTTCACTGTGGGATGAAAAGTGATGAAAAGATCCCACAAAAATCAATAAGAAACAAAAGTTGATCATAGTCTACGAACAAAATGTTAATCATAACTTAATCTTTCAAAATTAGAGCTCAATTCGCTATTTCTACCCTTTAAGAGTTAACCAATTGGTATAATAACCTGCTATTTACTTACGTCTCTGAGCAACAAAGCGTCCTCATCATTTAGTTTGGAATACTAAATATCTCACACTCTGTTTAGTATTCAAAATTATGTTAAATGTTCAATTCCCTCTATGAGATGCGCCTGCAAGGAATCATGGTAGTTGTATTTATCATCTTAGACTGAATATTTTGTTTTGATGAATCCAGCTACCATGATTCCCCGCAGGCGCGTCTCACTGAGGGGATTGGCCATTTGAATGGTAAATTGTATTTTAAAAACTTTAAATGTTGATTATTGAAGACAAAAAATGCAAATGAAATAAAAGCAACAAGGAACATACTACAGTAGCAGTAATTCAGAGTCATTTAACGAAAATTTTCAACCTGACATAAGTCAAAAGAAGATATTTGACCGGTAGAACTGTATTCACATGTCATTCACTGAATGGTGTTCATTAATACGAAGCACTGATTCGCTCAAAGTCTTTGCGTTCAAACCTTGAACACTTACTGCAGGGATACTCCTGGAACTCAAATGAAAACTGATCGCCTTTGGAGCCTCGGCTAAACTTCTCACCATCGTGCATCTCTTTGAATTCTTTGGTCGTGTACCTGTTTTCGGCATTCGTGTGGAAATTGTCGTATCGATTATCGTAGCCTCTGTCATATTTGCTCTCATACTTGGAGCCCAGGTATCTTGATGACGCTTTAAATGACGTTCCATCTAACTTCTCGTTCTCCTGTGCATTCTCATATTTGCTTCTGTGTTTGGTGTCAAGGTATTTTGATGATCCGTTATATGATGTACTATCCGGCACCTCGCTATCGTGACAGTAGCTGCTGTCATATTTGCTTAGACGTTTGAATTCCTGATCATATCTTGGTGATGCCTTATATGACGTACTGCCCGGCCCCTCGTCTCTAGTCAGATCTCCAATGAGGTTCTGAAGAGCAGACTTCTGGTGTCGCAGTTGCTCGTTCTGTAGATGCGACGTTTTCTGTCCTTCTTCCAAGGCTTGAAGACTCTTCTTTAAATTGTTATTCCTTGTGTGCAATTCCTGAACCATTTCCTCTGACATGCCAGTCATACTTTTTACATCCTGCATCTGAATGTTAAAATAGGGACATTACTATCTAAACATTTTTCGTTTAACAGCTAGCTCACCACTCTCTTGACAGATGACTTTTCAGTATTTACTCGTCACAGTCGAACCTCCTGTTAGTTGACCGCTCATGGAAAGTTAAAAATGAAATGTTTAACTTCCTAGTGACCGCTTAGGATAGATATTCCCCATTCTGAGGAAATCGCTTCGAAGTAGGGGCTTGACTGTACTAAGAGGGTCTGTAGGATATTCCCAGGATCCGGGATTTAACCAAAATACGGTGCGGGAATCGGGAAAACGCTAAATATCTTGACTGGACCCGGGCTTTGACTGCTCCCCGGGAAGCGGGATTTGCCAGAAATTTGGGCGCGGGATGCAGGAGAGATTTTGCTTGTCTGTCGGGAATTTAGGAACTCGTCGCGACCCAAATAAACGTTTTAGCGGCCAAAGCAAATCAACCAAATAAATAGGAACTGGATATTGTTCATTCCAAGTAAAAGGCTTAATACATTCCGTAGACTTAGAACGGTGAAACGGAAAGTTTACTGTCAGAGAGATAGCCACAACGCAAGTACAGCATGTACCGACCTTATCATTCAAACGGGTGACGTATTCATTCATAGCCTCACGTGCGAGTTTTAGCTTGGTCTCCAATTCTTTCTTTTCCACCTCTAGGTGGGCAATTCGTACTGCATCTTCAGACATTGACCTGTGGGGCATATCTCCTTTGCTACTTCCTTCTCCAAATTGCGTCTTGATAATCTGACCAATGGTAACAATTTCGGTTTCGATTCTCCCCAGTGCATCAGAGTCCAGTTCTCCACGAGAACCTGACAGCTCACGGCCTGTATGCATGAGTCTTTGTTGTAAACCCTGGATGTTGTGAAGACTGTTGGAATTGCGAGTGGATATTTCTGTCTCGAAAGAGGTAGCCTAGAATTGAAACAAGAATTTAGCACATTTTTTTCCTAACACTTGCCGAATTGGGGTCTTTTACTTCCGACGTCGAACTTAAAGAAGTCAATTGCTCTGGTCCTACCTTGACGATTTTTCATGAGACCCTTGTGTGTGACTCGTCAGATAAATTAAAAGCTATTGAGCAATATTTCATTTCGCATTGTCGGTTATGTGGTTCAAACATTAACTTTCTTAGTCACAACCTCTTCTGACCATTTATACAACAGATTTAGGGCAACGCTCTCACCTGGTCTAGTTTCAATTGCTTTTCAAAATGAACTTTTAGCTTTTTTATTTCAATTTTGAACTAGGCACTTAGCGGGTTAATGTTGCAAGTTATCACCATTTTTAGGTCTACGCCGAGGACGTTTCGAGCATTATGCTTAGCCTAAATGGACTATTAGGTACTGTACCCAGAACAAAGAAACCCTTACCCAAGTGCTGTTACTCTTTTCTACCAACTACTTCGGAAAACAGATGCTGTTTCTGGGTGGAAAAAAGGCTGAGACTACGCCTTCGAAAAAGGAGTTAAAAATCCGGGCGTGTCATCTCATTTGATGCAAGCTGGTGATAACAGGCATCGATTTTGCTTGCAACTTCTCTTTAATTCATGATTAGTTAGATGTTGTTCCTCTGAATATTTTTGCGCTTCTTACATAAACTGAACAACACGACGAGAGCGATAGAACAGCCTATACGATGCTAAATATTTTTGTATCGCTTTACCTTTTCCTTCTCGTTCTTGAGTTTTTCTAGCAGCCGATGCAGCTGGTTTTGTAATTCTGATGTTCGTTCCTTTAGAGATGCATTCTCAGACACCAGCTGTTTCAGTCGTTCAGTTTCGCCACTTTCCTCGGAGGACTTCTCTGGATGCTGGAAAAAGAGAAAAATGGGTTTACTTGTGAGGAGGCTTTACTCACTAACAGTCTTGAATTTAACGTAAAAGAAAGTCTTTGTATAGAGAATAATGGAAGAAAGTACCACAAAGCCTGCGAAGTAATGTAGTAGTTACGAGTTTTTTTTACCAACGATGTCCAAAATTGAAGGAATAGATTTGAGAAACTAAAAGAATCCTGGAGTCCTTCTGTTTAAATTGGCGATTGAAAAGTTATTCTTTGTAAGGACACTCATCCCCTTAAAAACCATTTGACCACAATTGGGCCAAATGTGTGTTTACCGAGGTACGTTGCAGTATCTCAGCTTGCTTTTCCTCAAGAGCTTTTATCTTCATTTGAAGTTCTTTAGTGACCTGGAGCAGTTTGTTCTTTTCTTGCGACACCGCTTCGTATTTTGCCTGCAACAAGAAAGAAAATTATACCTCACTAATAGGACTCTTATTCCGCCTACGCGCCACTGAGCTGAAAGAGGAATACCAAAACAAAGCAAATGACAATGGTGGAAATTTCAAAGAAGAGAGGTGTAAAATGAGTCAACCCTTTCAATTTTAAGGACAAGAGCGCTTAAGTGCAACAAGGCACAACAGTTAGAATATAGTAGTTACGTAATTTCAAAGATTTCATATGGTACAGAGCAGTTCATCTTTCTCTCTAGTGACTTAAAATTGGCAGTCTCATTGATTTGAGATTTTTCTTCACATCATTTGAGCTACCTTACGCTACCGAGTGGCTGAGACACACTCACCTTGTATGAAGGCTCTTGACTGTAATTTGTCGGTGGAGATTCGTATCGCGACTCATCCTATGGGGCGAACAGAGACAGTTGCGTGAGTCAGTATTTGTCGCAAATTGTACATATGTAAAATACAAAATTATCGGCTTTTTATACCATTATCAATATAATATTATCGCATAATCATTTGGTGAACGCAAGCTAAACTGAAAGGCTTCCCCTTCTCCGGGCCGCCTTGCTGTTGAGATCAAACCTCGGGAAATAAATATAAACTTCCCTGAAGGGAAGACTTAGAAGGGAATACAGAAGTTATGGAACGCTCTCAAGTAGTGTATATGGGAGGCGCGGTGGCCTCATGGTTAGTGCGCCCGTCTCCGGATCGAGCGGTCCGGGTTCGAGCCTGGCCGGGGACATTGTGTTGTGTTCTTGGGCAAGACACTTTACTCTTACAGTGCCTCTCTCCACCCAGGTGTATAAATGGGTACCGGCGAACTTAATGCTGGGGGTAACCCTGCGATGGACTAGCATCCCACCCAGGGGGGAGATGAAATACTCCTAGTCGCTTCATGCTACAGAAACCGGGATAAGCTCCGGCCTGGTGGGCCATTTGGCTCGTATGCAGACTTTACCTACCTTTACCTCAAGTAGTATACCACATGAGAGCGTTGCATAACTATTTTATACCATGCCTTTAAAAAATACAGTGCCTAACATAATCAATGCGACATACGCGCATTGCACGCCGAGATGGGAAGGTTGAATTTAATACGGTCGATTTTCTGTATTCTGATTGGCTGTATTTTCTATGGCACGGTATAAACACTAATATTCAGTACCTTCAGGTTTGATGCACTTCGTCTATCACGGATATCAAGGTGACCACCAGGTGAATCCTCTCTTCTCTTCTCTCTTCTTCCCTCATCAGGCATTCGCATCTTGGCATCATATTCTCTGCTTGTCTTTTCAGCTTTGGCTGCACGAGTTTCTAACCCTCTTAGTTTTCCTTCCAGGTGCGAATCCTTCCTTTCTGCTGTTTTCACTCTGTCTTCACGGGAGTGTGATTTAACCTGGCTTTCATGTTCTCGCCTTTTCACATTCTCTTTTTCGCTGTTCTTCATCTCGAGATCTTTAACGGCACTTGTTAAGGTCTGTATCTTGTGCTCATTGTCCTGATTTGCTTTCAGAAGCCTTTCCATTTCCGCTTTGGCTTCCTCTTTGTATTTCTTATGAAGGCCGATGTTCTCCTCCAGCGCTGTCACTTTGGCTTTTAAGCCTTCGTTCTCGCTTTGCAAGGCGCTGATCTCAAATCGTAATGCAGATTCATTCTCTGAAGGTACACGATACATGGAATTGCCTCTCAGTCCGGACTGCTCGACTGATCCAATCCCGATCTCTGTAGCGACAGGTTGGTTGCTTGGCAACTCTCGCTTCTTGCTGTATTCAAAGCTGGCTTGATAGCTAGGCTGCCACGTGGGATCATTCCTTAGACTGTAATCATTACCTGCAAGCTGTTGATAACTAGCGGTAACACCGTGTTGTGTAACATGGGAACCCGCAGATGCTCCTGTCCACACACTGTCTTTATTTGGTTGTTGCTCTTGTTGTCGTTGTTGTTGTTGTGCCCGCTGGTATGGTTGCCAGAAAGGAAGACCTTTTGTATTACTGCTATCGTCTGTCAGCTGTTGACGGTTTGCAGTCAATTCTATTCTTCCAATTGCAACTTCATTCAGATGGTCAGCCTTTTGCAGTTCCAACCTTTCATTATCACTCATCTGCTCTTTGCTCATTCCTCTACCTCCTTCATCTGTTCGTTCACCTTGGAAGTTCCCCACAGACAGTCTCGTCCATTTCTCGTGACTTCCCTGCTGTCGCTGTCTATCAATCTGAGCTTGACTTTCCACTTGAAGCCTCTCCTTTGTTCTTATGATTTCATCCTTTTCTGACTTCATTTTCTCTTTTTCTCGGTCAAGCTCTTCCTTGATCTGCCGTCTCTCAGCTTGTAACGTTTGATCAAGTACTTCTTTTTCTCTGTGGTATGTCTTGTCCAATTCCACTTTGTGATCTGCTAACAGTTTTTCAAAGTCATCTTTTAACTTACCACTGAGCCCGTCACGTCCTTTTTGCGTCACTGTCTCCTCAAACGATTTCATCTCCACATTAATTCTCTTTTTCTCTTCAATTTCCAGACGAAGTACGTCGACCTCGGTTTTAAGGCGTTCATTTTCTTTTCTGTTCCACGAATCCTCGTTGCAATATTTTTCTTTTTCCAGCTCCAATTGTTTCTCTACCTCGAGTCTCAGTCGTCTCTCTTCCTGTAGCTTTTCTTCAACTTGTCGTATCTTCTCCTGAAAGTCTCTCTCCATTTGCATTCTTTCCTGTGCCAAATTAGTTTCAAACTCTGCCTTAAGTCTTTGAGAATTCGTTTCACTTTCGGTCAACCGGAGATTGAAATTCTTCTCGATCTCGTGTTTTTCTTTGTTAAAGCGTACCTCCATCTCTGAGTTTTCGCGAAATGCCTCTTGCTTCTGGAGAGAAATTTCCCTCTTCAACATCACTTGATATTCAGCTTCAAGTTTCTCTTTGAGTTCACTTTTCTCTTTGGCGAAATTCCCTGTCATTTGTCTTTGCTCAGTTGCAAGCTTTTCTCTAAGATCCTTTAACTGCTCTTGATAATGCTGCTCAAGTTGCTTTCTCTCCTCATTAAACGACTGCGTAAGTTTAGCAATCTCGTCTGCGAAATTTTTCTGCATTTCCATCTTCTCCATCGACATGTTTCTCTCAAGCTCTGCTTTCTCCGCTCGCGTTGATTCGTCCCACTCCATTTGCCTGCTCCCAAATCCCCTCAAAAGCTCCTCCATTTTCTTCTTGAAATACATCCCCAGTGATGTCCTCTCTCTTTCAAAGATGTGTAGCAGCTCTTCCTTCAATGCTTCTTCGTCGTTCTCACTCAGTTCTATCTGGAACTCATTGGATGATTGTGTAAGATGGCCAAATCCCGCAGCCTTGATGAGGTTAGTCTCCGTGTAAACTTCAAACTCGTTACTATTTTGGCTTGCGTTGTCCTGCTCTCCAATGCCACTGTCCTTGCTGCTCCGCATTCCACCTTCAAATGATCCATACCGGTAAATTTTTCCTGCAGCTTGGCTGCTAGTTACTATTCCAGATGAGGAATACACCATGGTCCGTTCGCCAGAGATGTCCTCATTTTCTGTGAAGACATCTCTATTGCTTTCTAACTCACCTACAATGACTCCTTGGTTCTCCGTCTTTCCCCCAACATGGCTGCTATTTACATGTCCCGATGTGGAGTACATCATCGTTCGGCCAGAAATGTACTCGTATTCAGTAAAGCTATCTTCTTTGTTGCATTGCGTTTCGCTAGCAGCTATTCCTTGCAAGGAAATCTGTCCTCCGCTACTATTTGCATATCCCGATGTAGAATTCAACGCTGTTTCTCTAGCACTCTGTGGAAGAGCAACGCTTGATTTTGTGTTGACTTCGGTTTTCTTGGTGTTTGAATGCATCACGGTTGCCAACCGTTCCTATTTATCGACAGGTAGAATGAATAGACATCTGCAAAGGATTGGCAGGCAAAGCTTAACAGCTCTGCATGGAACAGTCAATCGTGTAAGTCTGTTCGGTATGGCAGGCATCTCGGAAAGTTAACACTGAGTAAATGAATTATGCAATGCATTTAAGTTTAATCAGTTAAATTGAGGTTTATGCCACCAGCAGTGTTGGGTATACTGTTTAAAGATAACAGGAAAATTTGTCCGCTACAATGGATATAATTGACACAAACTATTACGAAGTTGAATGCTGATGTGCTCATTTTAAATAATAATAAAGAAGAGCTTGATTCATGTATTTACCAATAATTCTGTAAGCGATAAAGATCAGTTCATGAGGATAAGGAAGTTCTTGTGCGAATATCGACTAATCTTCCATAGAATACCACTTAACCGTGGGAAGGTTGCGGTCTAGACTAATGCAGAAAATACTATTAAGTATCTCGGCAGCTCCATGAAAAGTGTGAAATTTCGGCGAATATGAACCACAGCAAGTCAATAACCATAACATTTGCGGTTTTCAGACTAGCGGTTTGGTAAATCCACTGGGCCAGTGAAATGCCCCATCACCTCCTGCTGTTACAAAAGAATGGGTCTTCGCCATTTCCACAGACCTAGTCAACACAGACGATATTTCAATATTAACGCTTATACGTATATTTAACAGTATGTGTTTTGCGCTCTCTAGTAACACAGAATAATCATTTTACTTAAATTTCAGTGCCTTTTTGTCCACTAAAAGTAATGCTTTATAAAGAAAAAGATTCACAAAAAGTGTTAAAATTAGTCCTGGGATTTCATTTAACAAAGTTGCTTTGTTGCCGACCAATCATGATTAAGGTTACCTGTAGCGACCCGTCACTTACAGGCACCAGTCCTGTATAAGCTGATGAAAAATATGGATTTATACATGCATAAAAAACCAAGACAAGTGAACCTGAATTGATTTAGACCTCAGTCTTGGATGTCGTTCCGGTTCACACCGAGCCTAGACATGTTTGAAAATGTTAAGTTAAACTAGGCCTGATTTCTTGCTGGTTATATTCAACTGTTAAACTTTACTGCTTTCACACTAGAATAAACCATAACTGGTGAAATAAAGAAAGAACGAAGTTCACCAAAGTGTTCACAAGAGGAGGTGTGTTTCGCGGATCTTGATCCAACCGTGTTCGATGAAGTCACACGAATAACATTTAATGTGACGCCCATTGAAGAAAAAAGGGGAAGCCAGCAACATCCCACATCTCTCTTTATTTAAGTACAGAAAACCAGCAAGAAAGAAATGTTCTTATTGCTCACTGAAGGCCTCCTCGTCCTTTACATCAGACGCCATTAAAACCCTTACAGTGGATGAAATAGGTTGTTTTGGTAACAATGCGGTAAGAAATCTGGAAAGGCCTTGCACAGGACGTTTCTCATAAGTCACAAAAACCAAGATTCTCTTTCTTTCATCAGTCAATCGCATCTTCGAATCATATACTTTCACGATTGTATTTTCACTTTCCTCTGAGCGAGTATCTACTGCTCTCGGGTTTCCTTGTAGATCCCATGTATTAGTTTGGACTGTGTTTGCTCTGTCCTCGAGGGCAGCTCGTCCTTCGCCTTCTTGACTTTTTACACTCCCTTCTTCACTGTTCCTCTTTGCATGCTTTTGTAGATGCCGAGTCAAGGCCCGTATCTTGAGGTTACCCTCCTTATTCGCTTCTACAAGCCTTTTTATTTCTCTGTTTTTCTCCTCGATTTCTTGGCGAAGTACTTCTACTTCACTTTTCAGTTGTTCATTTTCCTTTTTGTTCAAACAATCCTCGTTGTGATACTTCGCTTTTTCTTCCTCGAATTCCTTTTCCATACTAATTCGCTGTTGCCGCTCTTCCTTCAGTTTCACTTCCAGATCCACTATCTTTTTCTGACTTTCCCTTGCCATGCATACGCTTTCCTTCAATTCGGCCCTAACTCTGTGCAAACTTGCCTCAGCTTCAGTCAACAGGAAATTGAAGTTCTTCTCAAGCTCGAATTTCTCCTTGGTAAACCGTGCTTTTATCTCCGACTTTTCACGCATTGCCTCTTGTTTCTCTTGCAACGTTTCCCTCATTAACATCATTTGATACTCATCTTCAAGCTTTTCTTTGCGCTTTAATTTACCCTGAGCGGCACATTTCTCTTCAACCCGTTTTTGTTCTTCTCCAAGCTTTTTTCTAAGGTCTGTCAACTGCTCTTCGTAACACTGTTCAAGTTGCTTTCTCTCCTCGTTAAATGAATGAGTCAGTTTGGATATTGCATCTGCAAAATGCTTCTGCATTTCCATTTTTTCCTTCGCCATTTTCCTCCCAAATTCTTCTTGCTCTGCTCGTTTTGTTTCCTCCCACTCTATTTGCCTGCTTCTAAATCCCCGCAAACGATCCTCCATTTTGCTCTTGAAATACATCTCGAATATTTGCAACAGTTCTTCCTTCAATGCTTCCTGGTTGTTGCCATGAGTTTCGCTTAGCTGGCTTCGCATGTCTTCAGCTATTTGCGAAAGATGAGCAAAATTTTCAAAAGTCCCAGTCTTGGCGGCAGTATTAACCTCGATGTAGCTTCCAGCATCGTTGCTGTTTTGACTAAAGTTGTCTTGCTCCCTGAAGCCACTGTCTTCACTGCTCTGCACTTCGCCTTCAGGTAAACGATGATAAATCTTTCCTTCAGTTTGGCTGTTACCTAATACATTGCCCGTTACAGCAGAATACATCATCTGACGCGCGCCTGAAGTGTTTTGGCACAGTTTTGTTAAATAGTGATAATCCGCTCTTCAACTTGTCAAGCGCTCCGCGAAGGTTCGACTCAGCAAAAGCTGGTTACGTGGACTACGCAGCTGTACCGGATGTATATTGATTATTTAAGATAAATGGTGAGATCTATGCCACCAACTGTGCAAGAAAGAACTACAAATGGAATTGAGGGTTGCCTCCCACGGACGAAATTTGACACATTCGAAAGTATGCACTTGTGAGTTCAGCTAGAAATGCTGTTCAAATAAGAGCTCTATTAGCACACTGTTGGAGAGTTTTTTAAGAACCACGTACAAGGACAAGATGCTTGAAACAAATCAGCGTTTGCTAGGATAACGAGATTCTTCGGAATAAGAATCTAGACAAGATAACGAAAGTTTTGACCCATGTCATGAAATAAATATGATATTTAGGTGAATAGAGACCGAACAGGTCATTAAACTTCCGCTGTGGTTTTAAATAAGACGGACTGGAGAGTTGATGCACATGTAAGTTAACATACTAAAACGTAATCCCTTCTGTCAAAAAGAGGACGGAAGTTTATTCTACAAACACAATGACCTCTAATGTTTAAAAATATCTTTTTGTAACCACTTAAGGACTGTTGCTTCTGCCATGCGCAAAATAGGCGGGGAAATAGGTTGCTTTCGCGGTCGTATAAGACAATGTTAAGACAAACACCGAGATAATTGATTTGTTTTATAAAGTTAGAGTTTACAGTGTTTCTTCCGTAGTAACCTTCTAGGAAAAGAGCCAAAGTAAGAAAGAATACTTTAATCCGCAACTGATTTTACGTGAAATCACTTCCACGTTCGGCGATCGCGATGCACAGGCGAACAAGCGAATAGCTTGATTAAGAAATTAAACTGAAATTAATTACGTTGCTTTTGAAAGGGAACACTAAAATTTTAATATTTGATACTCCACCCAATTTCATAAAAGAATCATAAGCAGTGCACAAGGATTGTAGCTATGGAATAAAGTTCAAAACAGTTGCAATACCCGGCGTTGAAAATTCACATTGTAACAAACAAAGTCCAACCTCTTAAATTAGTGTCAAACAAATCTTAGAATGCGTGCATAGTTAAATATCCAAGGACCATTTGATTAAAGGTAGATGCGATTGAGAAAACACATCCCTAAACACAAAACACGTGGGCGTTTGAAGAAACCCGTGAAAAGAACGCCAACATTGAGTTTTGATTCACTTGAAAATAGGTTTTGCTCCCTTATTCGAATATATAAAAAATAAAGTAATAAAAAAACCACTGAATTAAATTGTCAGTGTTAAGCACTGCTGTGCTAACTGGGGAGTCCGTAACAAGTAAACAAATATTGTAGGCAGGAAACATGTAAAACAAAATGATCAGAATCCTCTGGTGGAACTGGGTAAGCAGAAAAACGCGGGGCTTTTTATGCTACCTTAACAGTCCCTCGTTAAAGAAGAAAACATTCACACACATAAAGAATGGCTGAGTTTATTTGCGATATGTGAAAGTGAACTAGGCGAGAGAATCGTACATTTACACGACCGGATTTGCTTGTTTCACATACTGTGTCAATGAAGTTCCGTTTTAAGGACCTAATATTGTTTATACAAATGATTATAAATTTCTCAATTTATTATGGACTCGTGTTGACATAATATGTTAAATTTCAGGACGAAACTGCATCGACCAATTGTACAGCTTAATTGTGGACTGACTGAGTGATTGATTGGATCGGAAGACAACTTGATACATTGAATGGGTTTCATAATAAGTGTAAACTGTACAAAAATTGAAACTTTGACAACAATTCTGTTGAGATTCTTAGTTTCCATAAGGCAGTAGCGATCAAATATAGCTGCGCTTTATATCCTTTTTTAAGTTCATAAAAGTATTACGAAGCGGCTTCAGCGGCCGTTATTTGACACAAACACTATAAAAGTTATGAAAAAATGCTCTCTCATTTTTGGCTTATGTAGTGCTATAGGATTAATATGGATTTAAACTGAGGAATTTAAGACATTACAAAAATAGTTTCATCTACGTATCAAAAATCAGTCGGTTTAAAGCCTTGTTGATCAGTTCAATTGAGGAATGCTTACTAATCCAAAGTGCTGGGTCTTTGTGGAATAGATGGTATTTGCAATAATATTTTCAAAAAATTCTACCGTTCGTGCAAAAGACAAAAAACGTCTAATTGATGTAAATATTTGTCCTGTAAGGTTCCTCTTGCACATAGTGAACGGAATGGGAATCGTCCAATAAATTGTCCAAATTTTGTTAGTACAAAACGCGACTGACGTCACACCAGGGACCCAGGCAAAGATCACAACCTAACTAACAGCGACAAGAACAGAATGCCAGCAGCTCTTCGTGGAAGATCACCACAGCATATACTTGCCCACGAGTTCTAACCAGACACTCTCTATAACTCAGGTACTAACATAAGCTCCGGGCAGTTTAAAGGTGACTCTTTGTACAGCTCTGTTCTCTTCTTTTCGATGCATATTTACCTTTAAGCAATGGCATTAGCTCCACAAAGTTTAGAAATAACCCTTTGTAGAGCTCTCTTTTGTTCTGTTAGTTGCCTATTTGCCTTTTCCGCTCTTTTCTCGTTGGCCTCCGTTTGTTGAAGAGCTTTCGTAAGCTTGGCATTTTCTATGTACAGTTCTTGGACGAGGTTGCTCGAACGCGTTGCACTAACTTCTGAATGTTGAAGCTGAAGGACAACAAGAAAAAAAAAAAGCATTACTCGTGTATAGAAAGTTAAAGTGGTGAGGAAGCCCCGAGAATTCAGCACCAAAAGGTCTCCTACTTCTGAAACACAGACTAAGATCAAAAGAGAAGAAAAGACTTAAATCTGCAGGCAGAATGAGCTTGCCCATGGTCCAAAGAAAACAAACCTCAATCAAGCATTCTTGTGTAAAGTAAACTCGCAATGGGACTACTCCCAAATATGGTATAGACTTCACACGGGAGTAGAGGATAAGAAAACGGTGACCAATGACTGAACGAAGAGGCAAACCATGTTTGGCAAACCATGTGATAATCACCTGTTTACTGAGCCGTGCCACGTGCTCATCTAATGCTTCTCGAGTTTGTGCTAATTTGGTTTCTATCTCGAGTTTCTCTTTTTCCAGTTGTCGTATCCTTCCTTCCCACAAATTGCTTGCACTTTCTAGCTCTCGCAGTCTACGAGTCTTTTCTTCGAGCTGGAAAAACAAAGCATACTCTTAGATTTTGTGGTTGGTGTACCACAGAGCTAAGGCAGCATGAACAACAACTTCTACTGTGCTGTAGGTTCCAGACTATTTATTTACTACTACCTTGATTATGTAAAACTTTCTGCAGCTCAAGCTTGGAAAAATGGCTTCCCGCCTTCTACCTATGCAATGTATTTCCGGTTTCATGTTATTCCTCCAAGGAAATTACTGCTTTTTTTTCACAAATTTGCCAAAAATTCAGCGGTCGTTCAAAGCTAGTTCCCGCTAGTTAGTTAGTCTTTCTGTTCTCGCGCTGATGTGCTGTATGCAATGAAACACCAAAAGTTTAGAAAAGCAAAGAATTTAAAGAACCTTTTTGCTGAGTGCCATAACCTCCACTTTCGCCTCGTTGAAAACTTTTTCCCTGAGCGCCTGATCCCGTTCGCTCGCCATATTGGCTCGATGAAGCTGTTCTTTCAACTCGCCTACTTCACGTTGATGGCGCGATTTCATGGTTGTCATCTCGGTATTCGCAAGTGTTGCCTGCAGGATGAAAAATTCAATTCAGAAGATCGCCCTTAGAACTGAAATTTGTAACGACGAAAAACAATCACATACAAAACAAACGACTTACCGTAATCACAGGACACACCTTACCACATGTCATATAACATTTCACGGGACATCACGCACATGCAACAACAATCACGTAACGCAAGCTGAAACAAGATCTAGCAACATATACGTACAAACAAACTAAGTGGTGCACAGTACTAACTACAACGAACAAAGAAATCAGAAGTGAAGCAGCTCTCGTAAGCTTGTAATTCTCTTCATTGTTAGCAGCTGTTATTGTTTTAGGGCTAGGGCATTGTTTTTGTTGTTTGTTCTATTGCTCTCCCAAAAGGTAGTAAGCCATTCATGTGAGACCTTACGAGAGCTGCAATATCACCCAAAGAAATACGAGAGCCACACAACAAAACAAATGTACTAGTCACAAAAATACGCTTACTCCTTGGTGAAGTTGTCCCTAACCTTAAAAGGGTTAAGTCAGGCAAACTAAGGCGACTTGTTTCCTTCCCTATTCTTACAACTTTAGCTTTCTCTTATCGTCTCTTCTTTCAACTTGTTCTTCACTCAGGATTTACAACTACATACATATATTTCCGCCTCTATATCGGTGTAACCCTTGCTTATTTCCTCGATTTCGTCTCATTTCAGGTTGTACATCACAGAATTAGCAAAACAAACCGAGGCACATACAATCCCTCTATATAATGCTGCGAAGAGTCTTAAGATTCACCGCAATTCCTGGTACTTTTAAAGTGTAGTTAGGGGAATGAGATCTCCCCCACCACTATGCATCTTTTCAACCTCAATTCCAGGGTCCCAACCCTCGCTTATAGGACCTGGGATCGACAATGGCAATCCTTCCTTTTGTAAAAGTTCTCATGTCTAGATCTCGTCGCAACAGTTTTTCACGTTGCCAAACAAACCTTCTCTTTAAAAACGGTCTTAGAATGAGGATATCAATTATTCAGTATAAACCCCGGTACACCTTCCTCTCTGTCCACCGTTTCATAGAGACCAAGGAATTGAAACCCCCTGGCAAAACATACCTTCTGCTTTTCAGTCTCCAATTCTCTCTTGTGGGTCGACTGTGCACTAGCGAGTCTCTCTTTAAGCACATACACCTCTTCCTGAAGGTTGTTCGCTTTAGCGTTCTTTTCTTTCAGAACCTTTTCCAAAACCTGTTTCTTTCCTTGGATATCTTCCAGCTTCTTTTCCATTGTGATGAGATCATTTTTGGCCTGCAGAAAAACGTGAAGTATCGGGAATACTGTGAATTAGGGTCAAGAAGGGCATGAAAACATGAACAGTCGAATCTCCCTTAGGGACAGCGACTAAGTGTTCCTTTATGGAGGTGTCCCTTACTGAAGGTCACAAAATGTGCTGATCACGTGTGTGCTGATCACCTTTATGGAAGTTGCTCTTGCTCGAGGTAAAAACATTCCTCCACACAACTTGGAGTCTGCTCTCATGCGTACGGGCTGAAGCTGTCCCTAAGAGGCTCGACTGAAAGTGTTATCTCTTAGATACAATAAATACACCGATTAATAAGCTACAAAAGGACAACATTGAACGCAAGCTCGATTACATTGATAAGCGTTTCAAACCAATGCCCGCATGAGATAGTAATTACCATGTAATGCAATGCATAGGATAGTAAAGAAATAAGATTAACCACAAGAATAAACATTTACAGTTGGTTTGAGGCTATGTGAACATGTCGTCATGTCTAAGTACATTGGTTTAAGTTCTACAATCGAAACCGCCATAACGCTGACTAACAAGGCGACTTTTCACACTCTGCAACACAAAGCGGTGAGGGGCTATAGAAGATGACCGCTATAAGTTTGTACTGTAATTAAGTAGTTACATAGCTCTCTTACGAAGTTTACAGATATATCAGTTTATTTAAATTTAAATTGCATGGGT